GGGGGGTGCGGGGACTGGAGTCGTGTAAATGAACTGCTGAACCGCAGAGAGAAAGGTGCGGTTTTACTCAAAATATGCGTTGTGTAAACGGCCCCTAAAGCTTTTCATCAAGGGAAACTGATGAATGGTATCAATTTACCACTTTACATCTTGGCAAGTGACGACAGTGGTGAACTGACTTCAACCACCTCCATGACACCTCAGTCTTTTCAGAAATCACACCAAGACCACCAGAAGGTGTCTGAGAATCAGTGTTTGGTGAAAGGAATTAGGACGCTGTCGATGAAGAGTGTTCTTTGAGCTCTGGTTTAATTTTAAACATTGGCTCACATTAGCTCTAATAAAATCAAGACAACCCAAAGATTGTGTACAACACAAACTGAGTGTGTTACTTGTAACTGATATACATTTAATTTAGCTTTTGTTCTGTGCAGGCTTTTGATTATTAATTAATTAATTTAATTATTTAATTTAACCTTTATTTAACCAGGCAAAACCCCAATGAGACCGCAGATCTGTTTTGCAAGGGAGTCCTGGGCCTGAAGGCAGCCTAGCATGCATGTTTTGGTCTTATTTACTAACTTTATTAAACAAAGGGCAAACTAAGTACCAAAGTGACTGAACAACAATTTACACAGTTGTTTTCTAAAGACCAGAAAGCCAAACTCCACAGGATGATAATTTATAACGCAATGCAAACAATCCATAAAGGCCACTTAAGGCTTTTCGCTGACCTGGACTGATCCCTAGGTTACTATGGTGACCATGCAACCTTTCTGATAGGCTTAAGTGTGGGGTCACTTATCAATAAAGAATCACCTAAGAAGATGTGCACAATCTGAATGGTTGAATTCAAAGGATGAGGGGGTGGCGTTCTCAGAGTTTGACCTCTGCAGACCTGTAACACAGGTTACTTGCAGGATGTGGATGGTTTTGTTTTTGGGCAGGTCTTGTCTGCCACAGTAAAGCCACGTGGTGGCTATACATTATAAAGTATATCAGGGTAGCCTGAAAAATAGTAATCCTTGGGAAAAAATAATTGGCTGATTAGCTATTTGTGTTAACAAGCAACTGAACAAGTGTACCCAATGAAGCGACTGGTAAGTTCATTTACATGTATAAAAAGAGTTCACAATAACAAAGTAAAAAAACAGTTTAATCTTAGGCTGCTGACCAACAATTAGCATAGATGCTAACTTAACAGTGAAAACACCACAGAAAAGCTAACTTTATTAGTATTTCATTTATCACTGAAAACTTAAACACAAATTAAGTGTTTTCAAGTCATCCAGCAAGGTTGAGTCAGGTCCGTTGGAAAGGTTCTTTGTTGTTCGTCAAAGAACAACTCATCCAGAGGACAACACTCAACCTTGTCAGATTTATCTACCT